TCTTAAATAATTATTATAATTCAATTCTTGCAGGTACCTACTTTGTATGCATTCACAATTATGATATGAGTGTGTTTCATTATTTCACAGTAAAATATGAAGTGAGACGAGGATTTCACATTAAGACTAAAGCGTGTCCTCTCGGGGTTGAAGTGTTTATGCTACCGTTTCCAGGGCAAGCGGGGCATGCAGGAGGGAAAAAGCCTCTGGGAAAAGAAAACTCTAGAGAAGAAGAGGCGAGAGAACTGAGATGCTCAAGTCTGGTTCAAAGACAGCTGCCCCAGATGCAAGGGAAAGGTAACACAGCCCTGCAGGTCCTCTACCCCAGGCTCCCTGGACTCTGGACTCGCCCCTGAGCCCCGAGGCAAAGTATATATGCAAAGGAGAAAGGAAAATCTGAAGCAGCTCCAGTTTCTGGAATCACGGGGAGAGGAGAGCCCAGGTCATCAGCAGCACGGGCACGGCCACAACAGGGTGGGGCCTGCAGTGATAAGACCAGGTTGGCAGTGGGGAGGGCTTGGTGAATGCGTTGCAGCCTCCCGGTGCCCTGCACAAGCGCAGCCCGGCTCTGAGAGCAGCGGGGCTGGACCAGCACAGTGTCTCCTGCTCTCGCCAGTGCCCTTCAGCTCCTGGCACCTGAGGCACAGCAGAGGGAGAAGGCAGAGGGAAGGTCTAGGGAACACTGTGCTCTGGAGGGCTCCCACGCCCGCCATGGCAGGGTTAAACCAGGCAGGACCACTTTGTATCTTAAATAACCTTGAAAAGTGAGCCAGGGTGTCATGGGCTGCATTACTTAACCTCTCTAATGCCACAAATTTCTTGTTTATAGAATCAAAATAATTTGACTTCTGTGGTATTCGTAAGAAAATTTACACAAAGAATTTAGCATATCTGGCTGACAGTAGAGGCTCAAAAAGTCTTAAAAAATTTAAGAAAGCAAATCATAAACTGTGTATTATGAGGGCCATGTCTTCTTGCCAGATCTTATACATGCATCCAGGGCTCCAAAAGTTATTCAAAGGCACATGAAAGAGGCTGGAGTAGGTTATCTCTTGGCTGTTATTTTTGCCCTAGTTTTACATGCTGTGTAAATACTGAGAATCAGACTGGTCTAATACCCTATTTTCTGATTTTTTTAACTTCAAATCTTCCAGGTAAGCATTTGTATTCCTATTCAATTCATATCTTATAAGCACAACATGAAAAAGCATATTTTAATTTCTTCTAGAAAGTACACATTCTAAGAATCCTATAATTCCCAGACTGACTATTATTACTTCTATTATGTGGTATGCGCTAATTATGCAAGATCTGGATGCACTATCATATTCGTGGGATACATATTAGCAGGAAAACCATACGGGAGATTATTTCTCAAATTAAAATAAACAGCAGCGTGTTTGACAGTTCTTCCATTCCTCTCTCTTTAATCATCTTCAGTGTTAGTGTTATCTGCTCAGAAAACATGTACATTGCCAGGAGCTTTAATTTGAACAGCCATCTTTTGCTAGACACTGTTGTAGTTCCATCTTTTTGTGCTTAATTTAGCAGATCCAAATGACTCTTGACAGTCACAAATACTAACAACTGAAATAAATTTTATAGACACCAATAGGAATACAGCACTGAAATTATGAAGATAATATAGATTTTTTTCCCAAAGAATCAAGTTTGTGACTTAGATAGGTGCCTTCTCTACCTCACAAGACAGGTCATGTAGGAAATGCCTCACTGGGTTTTCTTAGAATTATAAAATGATGATCTAACGCTCTCTGGGTGTGCTTGGGCTGCAGACCATGCTACCTTATTGCACAACTGGAAGGGGCCTAAATTCTTCTAATCTAAACTATGTATCAGTTTAATTCTCCCTGTTCTACCTTGCTTAGGTCCTCCAAGACACAGATGATGAGCTAGAAGAATGAGTAAAATATGAGTATTGGGGAATAGCACCTACCACAGGTAAAGAAGAAAACTGGACTTCACAAGAAAAGGCTTCAGACTTCAAACAAGTTTATGAAAAGAAAAGGGAGAGGAAGACTTGAACAGGAAGAACAATGTGGGGCACACAGTGAGAATCTTGGAAAGTCCCGACCATCCTAATGTGGAGATCCAGGGCAAAGACAATCTGTCACACAGTCCTGCGTGGGCAGAAATGGCCAGGGCTGGAGACTCCATCATACTCAGGTACTGGCTGGGAAATGACCTGGAAGAGAGCGACCTTAGCCTGGGTGGTGCAAAGGACACCAAGCAGTGGGCAAGATGAGCCATGTGCCTCACCAAGGTGGAGCTAGAGCACCTGGGTCCAAGGTATTCATCACACAGCTTCATCTGTGGACGTTAAATCTACTTACATGTAGATTCCGGTTCTATTATTCTGTTCCTTAAAATTCTCAAAATCAACTACCTTCCTTTTACTAACACCGCCTTCAAAAGTTAAAATTTGTGAGATCTGCTTTGTGCTACCTGTAAGTTCTCCCTGTCCACTTTTCACTCTTTTGTTTTGACAGACTCTCCACTTGTCCAGTTTTCTCTCTCCTACACAAGCTAGAACCTTACCTTTCCTGAGATCCCAGGATTTGGAGGCGGGAATACAGAAGATACAAAATTAGTACTGATTTTTCAATGTCTGGAGGTAAAGTAAATTTAGGAGTCAGTGAATATTTCAGGTACCTATTTCTACTTAACACTTTTCCAAAGCTTCATGGCTTAAAATAACAACTGCTTACTTGCCTACAGCTCTACAATTGGAGCGAAGCTGGTTGTCTCATTTTTCTGCTGGTCTCACTTGGGTCATTCAGGCAACAGCAGTTAGCAGGAGGCTCAACTAGGGCTCCACTCACACACCTGAAGCTTCAGCTGAGAGGAAAAGGCTGACTGCTGGCTGAAGGGGCAACTCTCACACCTTCCATAAGGGATCTCCAGTCCAGTAGGCAACCACATTACATGATGGCTCAAGGGTCCAGGGAATGAAAGCAGCCACAGACAGCCTGTTCAAATCCATGGCGCTAAACTGTCACAGCATTATTTATACCAAACTGCTGGTCCAAGTAAGACTTGTCTACTTTCTAAACTGATAAGAAAGAAAAATAGAAATAGATCCTTTGTTCTGCCCGCCCTCCCTCCCTTCCTTCTTCCCTGTCTTCACCTGTTGTAGTACTAGTGATGCAATCTACAGGTGTGCAACTGAGGCACATTCACAACATCCAGCCAGATGCAAGCCTGAGGTCCTCCTAGCTCAGCTCCCCTCCGTGCTACCAGGCATGCTGAGGTTCTGCTTCTGGATAAGAAGAGCAGCCAAGTATCTATATCAATGTTAATCTGCCACTGGGGCAAGACTGTAATGAAATCAGTACCGTATCAAAAGCATCCACATCCAGGGGCTGAAACAGGCCCAAATGAAGAAAAATAAATGGAGCAAAAGGTAGAGAAGGCTCATTCAGAACAAGTAGGCTTTATTACAATGGTACAAGAGAGTAATCTAGCAGTGATTTAGGTGAATAGTTTTGAAACTTCTGTACTTACTGAATATATGACTCTGACCTATCTTCACGGCCTCTTTGAGCTTCTACCTTATTAATTATGAAATAAAGAATTTAGGACCTACCTCTCACCATTATTGTGAAAATCAAATGAGGTAGCAGATCCACAGAAATCAGGTTCCACTCAAGAGGGGAAGTTTGTAGCGTGGGTGTGCTTGATTTCTGTTGTTTGCTTGCTGTTGTTCTTGTTCCTGTTTCCTCTTACTGAAGCAGTTTAGACTAGGTTAGTTAGTAGACTGGCAGAAACAGAATAAGCAGACCCGAGTTTGACAGAGTGCCTGGAGCTTGCTACAACTAGGAAGTTATATGGGAGAACCGAGGGCCTGTGTACTAAAGCGCTGGGAGCTTCTTGGTCTATGAGACACAAGCTGGAAGCATCCAGTGCTTCTGAAACACGCAGAATCACCTGGAAGTGTACTAGCAAGGGCAGAGCTGGTCAGGGCCCATGACGTGCCTGCACGCTTCTCGGACCTCACGCAGTGCAGGACAGGCAACAATCTTCGGCAGCGTTTCTAACCCTACAAATAGTACCATTTATTAAAAAATCTGTCTGTAGGGGGCTGGGGATTTAGCTCAGCAGCAAAAGCGCCTGCCTGGCAAGCGCAAGGT